CACATTTATTTTTGAGTTGGTGTCTCACTCTGTCACCCAGGCTGGAGTGCAGTGGCACGATCATTACCACCACAGCCACAACCTGTTGGGCTCAGGCAATCCATCTGCCTCAGCCTTCAAAATAGCTGAAGCTACAGCTGTGTGCCACCACACCTGGCTAATTTTTTTTACTTATTGTAGAACTGCTGTCTTGCCAAGTTGCCTAGGCTGCTCTCAAATCCCTGGGCTCAGGCAATCCTCTTGCCTCCACCTCCCAAAGTGCTGGGATTACGGGCTTGAGCCATGTGCCTAACCAAAGTGGCATTTAAAAATGCTGTTAGGACCACTGTAAACTTTCTTTAACAAATTTAGAAAACCATCAAGTTTGGAAAGAATTGATGTTTTAAAATAGAGAAATGTATGTAACTAAGAGCTTGCAAGTAATGACTACTGGTGAGGGCAGAACCTTCCTGAAGGCTCCATGTGTACACTAATCCTGGGCTTGAGCCCTGCTTATTTCTGCTTTGAATAGAAACTTGAAACTGAGAACTAGAGGAGGTTAGGTTTTGGGTTGAATTACCACAGAATTCTCTTGTAAAGGGAATGTTACTTTGGGTCAAAGACTTCCTGGAACTGTTGTGGGTAAAGTCCAGCTTTCCCAGGCAGCTGTCTTTGAGATAGGAATTGAGCCTCTTGGCCTAGAATGACAGAGGAAAGTTGAGATTTTCCCTTTGGCTGTAAAATTAAAAATATATAGTAGTTTGGTTACTTTATGTGCTCTTTTTTTTAACCTGAGTGTATTCCATAGACTGTTTCCTTACCTCTGATTTATGTGTGGATTTATGGATTGTATATGGGATGTTTTTAAAATATATACAAGAAGGCTGGGCTCGGTGGCTCAGCCTGTAATCCCAGCACTTTGGGAGGCCGAGGTGAGTGAATTGCCTGAGACTGCGGGTTCGAGACCCACCTGGGCAACTTGGCAAAACCTCATCTCTACAATAAATCAAAAAATCAGTCGGGCGTGGCAGCGCACGCCTGTAGTTCTGGCTACTTGGAAGGCTGAGGCGGAAGGATCGCCGGAGTCCAGCAGGTCGAGGCTGTGGTGACCAGGAGTGGCCACTGCACTCCAGTCTGGGCGACAGAGTAAGACTCTGACTCAAAAAATAAAAATAAAATAAAATAAAATATATGCAAGAAAAGATATAGAGTCAAAACACAGCCAGTGACTCATGCCTGTAATCCCAGCACTTTGGGAGATGAAAGTAGAAGGATCCTTTGAGGCCAGGAGTTTGAGACCAGCTTGAGCAATATAATGAGATTCATCTCTACCCGAAATAAAAAAAAATATTAGCTGGGCATGGTGGTGCATACCTATAGTCCCAGCCACTTGGGAGGCTGAGGCAGGAGGCTCAGTTGAGCCCAGGAATTGGAGGCTGCTTTGAGCCAAGATCAATCACACCACTCCTCTCCGGCCTGGGCAATAAAGCAAGACCCTGTCTCTCAAAACATTAAGTCAGAGCACAGATTTTCTGTAATGCGGTTGAAATTTATATGTGCCACTTTTTGGCCTGTATATCAAAATCTAGGTTTTTGGTGGTTTTTTTTTTAAATGAAAGCAATTTGCTTATTTACTAGAATTAAGCTAAATGGAATGAAAAATCTTAGCAGGCAGGATATAGCACTGTGCTCAGTGTAGAAAGGGACAAAGCCAAATGCAGACCTGGCTTACTAAATATTTACATCTAGTTAGGGAAACAAAACATAGGCATCTAAAAAGGCTGCCACAGGCCCTTGCTTTGCTAAACTCTGGTCTGGCCACCATTGTTTTCCTGGGCCTTGGCCCCCTTCCCTACCTTGGGGAGGTGAATCTCTTCTCTGTCTCTCTCTCTCTCATTTGCTTTCTAAATAAACCATATTTTCCAGTGTAATTTCTGTGTAATTCTTTGCATCCTTCACGTGGCACTGGATCATAGACACCCACCCCCCTCCCCATTAAAAAAAAAATGCTGCAGCATCCCAGTGGTGAATGAAAGCTGGGTGGTTCATCTCAGGAAAATGTCTATTTGGGAAAGAGGCAGCAGGATGTAAAGGGGGAAGCCTGCCAGGTGAATCCCAGTTCATTTGCTTTCTACCTTGGGGCAATTTTGAACATCCTTGTGCGCTTCCCTCTGTGAAAGGAAACTAGTGCCTTCCCGGGTGGTGCTGATGATTCAGTGAGACAGTGTTCCTGAAGTGTTCAGCGCAGGTCCTGACACTGAGCCTGTGGTCCGTCTGCTGTATTGTTAGCTGTGTGGTCACAGTCTGCATAAATGGGACCGTGAGTGGAGTCAGACTTGAACTGGCCTTACAGGTGTAGATGGCAGAGGGGAGCCGGGAGCTGTGGGAAAGACAGGAGAGGAGGGTTGCTTCTGGCTGGATGGAGCAGGGAAGCTGGGAGCAGGAAGCATGGTAAGGATCAGGGTGGGCAGGAACGCATAGGCAAAGTCCAGGATGGTGAGGAGACCAGTCTGGGGTGGAGTGTTTTTGGAGGAACAAGATCAGAGGTGACTTTTAAATCTGTTACCTTGGTCCAGTCTTCAATCTTTTCAGTGTGTTTTGGTCTTTTCCTGCTTAGAAACAGTGTATTAACTGGAGGTTGGGTAAAAGCCCTGCCTTGGCATCTTGCATACCTTCTAGAGAACGTTCTTTGTCACTGGGATTCTAATTTTTCTTTGTCCTTGACTTCTTTTCCCGCTCCCTCCCTTCTCTTTCATCTTGAAGTTCTTATAGGGCCCCTGTCCCTTGGAACTTAAGCCTGTCTCCATTTCTTTTAGCTCAGCCAGTGATACCCAGTGCTGCTTTTGGTGGACCTGTTCTTGGTTGTTGGGCAGGAGGGAGTTGTTGATCCAGGGACTAGAAGAAATCTCCATCCAGATGGGTCTTTGAAATGTGCCAATCTTAGTTTTAAAAACTGTAATTTTAAAGATGTCCACTGTGTGGTGCTCAGGCATCAGAATACATTCTAAAACTAATTGAAAGGGAGTTCAAAAACATTAAAAATCCAGAATGACAGCCGTACTCGGTGGCTCAGCCTGTAATCCCGTGCCTTTGGGAGGCTGAGGTGAGTGGATCGCCTGAGCCCGCGGGTTCGAGACCCGCCTGGGCAGCGAGACCTCATCTCTACAATAAATCAAAAAATCAGCCGGGCGTGGTAGCACGCGCCTGTAATTCCGGCTACTTGGAAGGCGGAGGCGGAAGGATCGCCGGAGCCCAGCAGGTCGAGGCTGCGGTGGCCAGGAGTGGCCACTGCACTCCAATCTGGGCGACAGAGTGAGACTCCAACTCAAAAAAAAAAAAAATCCAGAATGACAAAAAAAATGAAACATTGTTCATTTGCAGTACACTGATTTTTCTAAGTAACAACTTCTTACAGTGTCACATTAATAACTTGACTCAGTTTATTTTAACTTTTGAGAAAATGTGCTAGAAGATAAACTTAACTGATTTGGAGTCCTGGACAGGGTGACATCATCTGCTTTCCTTTTTTTAAAAAAAAAAATTTTTTTTGAGACAGGATATCACTTTGTTGCCCAGGCTGCAGTGCAGTGGCATGATCAAGGCTTTTGTAGTCTCAACTTCATGGGCTCAGGCAATTCTTCTACCTCAGCTTCCCAAGTCATTGGGACTACAGGTGCATGCCACCATGCCCTGCTGATTTTTCTATTTTTTGTAGAGATGGGTTCTCCCTATGTTGTCCAGGCTGGTGTCGAACTCTTAGGCTCAAGCAATCCACCCATCTCTGCCTCCCAAAGTGCTGGGATTACAGGCATGAACCACTACACCTGGCTACTTTCAATTTTGTAAGAGGAAAATCCCTCCTGGATAGATTCTCACCTGCTCAGTGCATCGCTCTGGCACACGCCAGCTGCTGAAGTGAGAGCAGCTGGTGTAACCTACTACACTCGAAACAGTCTTTAAACATTGTTCTTGTGGAAAGTGGTGGCTTGGGCATTGATACAGAGCACTGTCTGGAAACCATGGGCTGACAAGCTCAAAGTCTCGTAATAGACTGTTTTCTCCAAAGTAATTTTGTGATTGAACGGTGGAACCCATCACTAATACTTCAAGAATTGAATTTTTCTTTATTCTCATAGAAATAGATCCACAGCATAACATCTCCTTGGGCTGTATTCTCCTAGGAAGTTTACCATGCTTTTGTGGAACTTTTTGAATGAGAAATGGTGTTTTTTTTTAGGGTTTTGTGATTTCATGTTCTCAGCCTGTTAACAGTCTTCATTACTTTTGTCTTAGTTCTAACCTGGGCACGTAAAGATACAAATCCAAACATATTTAAATAAGAAAAGACCATTGGTTACCACCCAGAAAGGAGAGATGGAAATTATAAATTATAAATTTATAATTTATTGGAAATTATAAATTATTCCCCGAGGACTGGACCAGTGTGATTCTATAACCAAAAGATCAATCATTACAAACTGGAAAAAACTGTAAGACTTTTTAGTCTGGAAAGGCAGGAATTGAGAGAGAGTTTCATTGAACTCTTACAAAAATTGTGGATTAGAGGAACACTAAAGTTCTAAAATATTAAGACATAGGGCACAATAGGTTATCCTAAGAGGTGGTGCCAGCACAAGTTTAGGCGGATTCCCTGAGAGTCCATACTAAGTTATAAAACAGCTGCAGAGAGATCTGTACTATTGGTGACTTTGGAAAATGACATCAGGAGAGAGAACTAGACTTCCAGTTGCCTTAGCTGGTATTGACAGCAGGAATTCTGGAAGGGACGGTAGGTAAGTAGAGACTCAGAGCTGCCACCTGTCCTCCCCTTTAAAGTCTGCTATTCTTATAACCAAAGCACTTAAAAAATACACCCTTTAATGTGTCTCTGAAAAATAAGCAGCTCAGCTTCTCATTTAAAATACATTTGAGTAGTTTTGGCGATGTTAGTACTATCACCAGCTGTGCTAGGGTTGGCTTTTGGTACCTTTTGCTCATGGAACCTTCCCTTCCCTTTGCAGGTTTTCATCTCTGTGAACTGCTTAAGCACAGATTTCTCTTCACAGAAGGGTGTGAAGGGGTTACCTCTTAACATTCAAATCGACACCTATAGTTACAACAACCGCAGCAACAAACCTGTGCACCGGGCCTACTGCCAGATAAAGGTCTTCTGTGACAAGGTAAGAGCACAGGGATGCTTGGAAGAAAGCGTTTGAGATACACTCTTCCTCACAGAAGACAACCAGGGTATCTTGCGCATTTAACTTTAACATGAAAGTCGTGTTATTCTAACATACAGTAGTTTGTTTTAAATGAGCAATTATTGTTTTGGCCTTGCCGAGACACATTATATAGAGAGGAAACAGATCACATTTTAACTGAAAGACGAGACGCGTTGATAAAAGAGTTTTGTTGGGCCTGTTTAATAAAGTCAAGGTGGTGCACGTAGAATGCTGATGAGCCCAGCCTGCCGGGTAGGCAGCACCTGCTGCGGTGATGTCTTCTTTAGCTTGGGGTCTGAGCACGCTTTGTGGGTGACTCCTAAGGGGCTGCGCTTGAGCAGGCAATCCTCTCTGCAGGCAAGGTTTTTACTTTTTTCTCCTCAAAAATAGTGAACTTTTTGGCTGTGCACAGTGGCTCATACCTGTAATCCCAGCACTTTGCAAGGCCAAAGTGAGAGAATCACTTGAGCCCAGGAGCTTGAGACTAACCCGGGCAACGTTTTTTTGTCTCTATGTCTCTACAAAAAACATTTAAAATTAGCTGGGTGTGATGATGCACTTCTGTAGTCCTAGCTCCTTGGGAGGCTGAGGCAGAAGGGTTCCCCGAGCCCAGGAGGTTGAGGCTGTAGTGAACTGTGATCATGCCACTGCACCCCACCCTGGCCACAGAGTGAGACCCTCCAAAAAACAAAAAGGGACTGGTTTTGACTAGTTCTTCTCTGTTCATCTTGTTAAAGAAACGTCTCTTTCAAGATTTTTAAAAGTACTTGAAGGGGGAGGTAGGGAACACAGCATCGATAAGGGTACCTGATCTCAAATCAGACAAAGTGGGGACCAAAGGGAGGCCCAAACATTACCTATAAGATGACCACTTGTATACCGAATCCTGAATTGTACCCTACATCTTTAAAATAAAATAAAATAAAATTTAAAAGATAGTACTAAAAAACTAGAGGCGTATTTGCCATCAGAGGCCCGGGTAGAGGAAGCACAGCATTTGAGCACAGCAAGTGTGTCTGATGCCCTCCACGTTCAGAAAGCTTCTCCAGCCCAGAGTTGGCTGCTTTGCTGAGTGCCTGCTGACCTGCTCGACTGTGCTGGTTTCCTACTGTGATTAACAAATGATCCAAATTTAGTGGCTTGGAAGAACACAGATTAATCGTCTTACAGTCTGTAGTCGGAAGTCTGGGCAGGTCTGGCTGGGCTGGCATCAAGGTGTGGGCAGAGCTGTGTGTTCTCCGAGGCTGTCATGGAAATCTGCCTCCCTCCTTCTCTGCTATCTGGAGGCTGCCCATGGGCCTTGGCTCATGGCTTCTTCCATCCTCAGAGTCAGCCATGGCTGCTTGAGGCTCCCGGTGCATCGCCACAGTGCTCCTTCACTGTCACATCTCTGACCCTCCTGCCCCCCTTTTGCTTTAAAGGACCCTGTGGTTACCTTGGGCTCACACAGATGACCCAGGATACGCCCCCTGTCTTCGTGAACCTGATCCGTCCTCAGACTCCAGACCAAGATGTAGTGTCACTGGGAGCCCCAGGGACTTTCACATCTGTAGCATTTGACAAGTGATGAGTCACAGCTAGTGGGTAGCAGAGATTCCTGCCCTGAAGTCAAAGTTCTTCCCTTAACACCACATTCCTCTTCTCAGGCAACAGAAAAACTGAAGAAAAACTATTAGGGAGTGTCCATGTTTTTTTTCCCTAAAATTCTAGGGAGAAATTACAGTTTTATTGGCTCAATTAAAAATTTTTTTTTCACAGCTGCTATTTCTGTTTCTAAAAAACTTTCATGTCTATGTAGTAATTTTCCTTGGCATTCTTTAGAATTCCTGAAAAGTTTTTTTTTTTTTTTTTTTTTGAGTCAGGGTCTCTCTGTCACCCACTCTGGAGTGCAGTGGCACAATCATGGCTCACTGCAGCCTCGATCTCCTGGGCTCAGGCAATCCTTCTGCCTCAGCCTCCCAAGTAGCTGGGACTACAAGTGTGTACCACCATTCCTCACTAATTTTTTAATTTGTGTAGAGTTGAGATCTCATGTTGCTCAGGTTGGCCTCAAACTCCTGGCCTCAAGCGATCCTCCTGCCTCGGCCTCCCAAAGTGCTGAGATTACAAGTATGAACCACCATGCCCGGCCTGTAAATTCATTTTTTGAATGCTGTGGAGATGTGTATTTTTCATTAGATGTCTGCTGACATCAGGTAGTAAACACAGTCAGTCAATCATTGTTCCAGTTGCCTCGGTGCCACTCTCAGGGACCCAGCTGGGGGACCCTATGTCTGAAACAACACTATCAGAAGACACAAGAGGACAGTTCCTGCATCAAGGACATCACTCAGTGCCCAGGGCTGTCATCTATTAGAGCAGTATCTCTCTAGTTACCCGTGGTGAGGGACTATGTTTTTAATTTCTAGTCTGTCAGTAACCTCTTCTGTAAAATACAATTGCTAGAAAAATGAAATGGCACATAAAGTTACATGAATTACAAGCTTCAGTTTTTTTATTATTTATTTCAACAGACATAGTATTCTATCTTTTTGCTTTTCGAGTGCTTGCTTGGTGTTCAGTTTGTTTTCCTTGGGCCATAGCAGCTGTGGGCTGACACTGCTCCACAGATCCCACCTGAATGCTGCTGTGTCAGAGGACAGCAGCACGAGTTAGCATGAGCTGGCGTTTTCCACATCAGATGATAAGAATTGTAGAAGCAAGTTTGAGGAGAAGGAACAGTATGGATTCATGCTCTTAGAGTCTTTGGTTTTAGTATTAAAACTTGTCAGAAGAGCTCCGGCATTAGTAGTTGATTGAGAAGAATGAAACACAGGAAGGGTTTCATGAATTGTCCAAAGTTACTTTATCAGTCAGTGGTTGAAAAAAGCTTAGAAACCAGTTATCAGCCAGGCACAGTGGCTCACACCTGTAATCCCAGCACTTGGGGAGGCTGAGGTGAGGGGATTGCCTGGGCCCAGGGCTTGAGGTCAGTCTGGGCAACTGGGTGAGACCTCATCTCTATAATAAATCAGAAAAATAATTCCAGCTACTTGGAAGACTGAGGTGAAAGAATCATCTGAGCCCAGCAGGTCGAGGCAGCGGTGGCCGTGAGTCTGGGTGACAGAGTGAGACTCTGACTCAAAAAAAAAAGAAAAAAAGAAACCAGTTATCTTCGCTTTGTGTTTGCTTAAAAGTCTCATACTTGCCAGGTATGTGACCCCAGCTACTTGGAAGGCTGAGGAGAGAGGATCGCTTGAGCCCAGGAGTTTGAGACTAGCCTGGGAAACATAAAGAGACCCCATCTCAGAAAACATACCAACCAACACTTACTAGTGTGTTTTGGGAAGGCTTTCTTCCAAGTTGCAGAACTGAACAGGCTGCCACATGATTTCATGTTTTGGTGTCACTACTGCTTGCCCTCTATTCATTCCGTTCATATAAGATGGGAACATAGCATCTGAGGTTTTGGGAAGCATGTCAAATGTGCAAGCCAGAGTCAGTCACCATGTTTTCATTACTTGGGTAAGGTTGCTAAGAGATAGTCACACAAAGCTGTGGTTAGGAAAAGAGTCATCTGCTTCCAGTGGTGCTTTATGTGGCCTAGGCCCATAGATGTTCAGACGTCCTCAGCTTCATGGGTTGTGGCTTTCTGCATGAGGCCTTCAAAAACTCTCATCATTGTTTTCCCTACCTGGTTGGGGATGTGACCCTAGAGGTTCACATGGAGATGCGGGTTGTTGGTCTCCTCTCCCATCGTCTGCCCTTATGGCTTGCAGAAGTGGTCATGAGAGGTGTGTGGTAGCAGGTACTTAAGGGACATCAAAGGTGAAATTATACACTAGGCTTTCACCCCCAGTTTTAATCTCAGAGTTACTATGGTTTGCTATAAAATTCCACATGAGAAGAAAATAGTTATGTGCTCTGTGTAATTAATTTCCAAAGCCCTTGATCCTTTCAGCCACACGAAACCCCACATGACCTCATACCTACTCTTGATTCTTGTGTGTCTGCCTATGACTTCTCTGTCATCCTTTATGAGTACGATTGCTTTTTCTCTTCCGGGTTTGTCCTGTGCTGCCTCCCTGGAACATCCCGCCTGTCTCCTTGATTCTGTCCTTTCTGAGCTTTGACTTAGCTGCTTTTGGTGCCTGTCCCTTCACCTCCCTCTGCTGTCTCTTAAAACTCTCACATTTTATGAATCTTGTCTACATTTGCAGAAAGAAGCTAGCGCTAAGACAGCTTTAAGTATCCTTCAGGGTGTCAGCATTCTTTTTCTCTCCTGAGAAGACAGTTGGAAGAGCATGTTATGAATTGCTTAAATGGCATTTTCTCTTATTTCAGAAGTGGCAGCAATATAACACATTTTCAGAGAAAACAGGAGCAGAAAGGGGATCTTTAACCAGTTAAAATTTGACAGCTCCTCTTTCTACGAGCTTCCCTGGTCCATCTTAAGGGACATTTTTTCGCACAGAAGTTGCCTTCTTCATCAGAGTTGTGTTCATTATAGCTGAAACTGGGAGCAGGTGCTATGGATTAACTTTCTGAGGCAACTTCTGATGTGATTGCCTGTGATAAATCTCTTTAGTTATTGTCTAAGAGAGAGTCAGAACAGCTTGAATGAAAATGGTTCCCCATCATGTCATAGGACTTCCTTTCACCTCTCTTGCAGTGTGTGCCTCCTGGTGATAGACTCTTTCAGCTTTTATATGTCCAAAGAGTCTTTGTGTCGCCTATTTTGAAAACTCCTTCTGCTGGGTATATACTTGTTGGTTGACTATCATTCCTTCAGCACTTTGTCTTCTGGCTGACGTATTTTTCTAAGAAGGCTGCTGTCATCCTGTCTTTTCTTCGGTATAGTGTGTGTCTTTTTTCTAGGACTGTTTTTAAGACCTTCTCGTTACCACTGATTTTGAGCAGCTTGATTATGTCTCTTTATGTTTCTTGTGCTTGGAGTTTGTTGAGCTGCTTGAATTGCTGAGAATCTGTGGGTTTATTTTTATCTTACTTTATTTTATCTTAATTTAATTTAATTTTTTATTTTTTTAGTTGTCACCCAGGCTGGAGTGCAGTGGCACAGTCATGGCCTACCACAGCCTCAAACTCCTAGGCTCAAGTAGTCCTCCTGTCTCAGCCTCCTGAGTAGTAGCTGGCACTACAAGGCATGCACCACCACACTTGGCTATTTTTT